AGAACTTGACAAGAATAATGAGTTTTCTCTTTGATTTCAATGTGTAATGATAGTTTACAAAAAGAAAAAAAAACTGACTGGCAGTTGGCTGTAAAAATAGTTGAGAGGATATCCTTGACTGAGTGCAAGAGCTTAACACAAATTTAAAAAATATTCTTGCCTCAAGAAAACAGTCATTAACCTCATCCTAATTGTAACACAATTCATATGTTAGCTAAATACCTGGGCAGCCCTTTTGTGTTGGGGTTGAGACCAGGGGAGAGAAAAAAAAGCAAGTCTGGAAAGGGAGGAGGGGCTGGTAGGAAAGTATTCAGGATTTAAACTCTGCAAATTTGCCAAGCATGGTGGCACAGTCTGTAATCCCACCATCGAGGAGTCTGACACAAAGACAATTGCCATGAGTTCCATGCCAGCCTGGACTACACAGTGAGTTCAAGGCCAGCCTGAACTATATAGTGAGACCCTGTCTCACTTTTGCACACACACACACACACACACACACACAATCTGCAAAGTTGGCAACAGTAATAGAACTCTTCAATTATGTCCCTTAACTCAGCAAGTTAGGTTTTTTGCTGTTAGTAACAAGGCTATCCACAGAGCATGTCTACTTTCTGCAGCTCCTGTAATGTCCCCTGGATTCATTAAATCATCCCTGCACTTCGTGTAGCTTCCAGTTCACTGCAGGTCTAAAGGTACCACTTATACTTGGTTCCGCCCACTCAACTCCTTTATCACTGGTTGTAAACTGAGCAAGCAATCACAGCAATCTATGTTGTAAAGGGAAATCGCAGGGGTCAAATAGAATTAGATAAAGTATACATGGGGTTAAAGTGCCTCTCTCCCTTGGAATGAACAAGGGGTGAACATAAGTTAGAAATATCCCGATTCGTTTAATTTTGCAAAAAAGAGGAAGTTTTAGACAAGTATGCAGATGAAGGTAATATTCCTCATTGAATTAGAAGCCAATACACCAACTTTGGTAAACAAAGATCAAAGGGAAGATCACCAGTCACTAGTATGCTTAATGTGGTTGCATTTCAGAGGAAGTTAGGTAAGAGCTTCCCTCTTCCTTAATTTTCCCTCTCCCTACATGCCAGCTAAATGACACAGGGATCTTATGAATAAGCAGACATGAGAAGCCCTGTTCTCTTAGAAACTTGTCATTTTTGTACAAGGTTTACAAAGCTTTCTAACAATTATTTACCTCTCTCAATCCATTATTTCAGGTATCTCAGCTTGAATGGTGGTATGCATTCACAGACAGAACCTGACATCCTGTACTGATTGCATAAGCTGTTTTCAAGAAGTAATATAATTTAAACAAAATTTTTATTTAAAGAATTAGATTTATAAGTAAAAGTCCTATTATTCTTTAAATTTTAAAATAATGCAACTATTTTTTTTTATTAGGAGATTTTTTTTGGCATTGTGCTGGTCACATGATTTTCTTCCTTATCTTAAAAAATGCATGGAGCAACTACTATGCCCAAGAAAATACCGTGAGCTGTGGATTTTAAAATAAATAAGGTATTTCTATTCATTAATGAGCTTGCCTTTTAAATTGTTTGGAGAATATTAAAATTTCAGTAATGTCCATTAAATATGATATAAATATTACCTTTGATGAAAATAGCCAATAGTTATATTGGCATTAAATTAATGACCATTGCTTCATTATATTCTTTACTTATTTAGTACAGTTAACCAACATGGTCAGCAGCAGAAAGAATAACTTTTAGGCTTAGATTCCCTTTAATTTAAGTGCAAATATATTTTAAATACTCAACTACAGAGAACCCCAGGGAAATACTATATAGTTGCTTCATCACCCATAAGACAGCAAGGAGCCTTTGTTGACCTTCTGTCCCAGCAGGGCTGTATCATATGAAAAATAATTTTCATATAGTCTTTGAATGTAACTGTTATGAAAAATAGATAAAAACATTTCTTGAAATTCTAGTTTTAACTGGGCTATGAGTCTTAGCATTTCTTCAGTCCAAATCAAAAATATCCTTTCAGTAAAACAAAAGCTAGCTCAGCCATCCATTTAAGTTTTGAAAAGCTGCTGTATACCAAACCAATGTTGTATGCAAATATTGAACTTAATTAAAATACTATATATAAAATATTAACAGCTGCAGCTATTAAAATTACATTAAACTGCCTTGAGCTGCGACAACATAATATAAGCTCTGTCTCTTTTTTTTTTTCACTTTAGTAAAGGGCAACTTGGCTTTATGAATGAACTTTGTTATTTATATTATTTGTTCCAATCACTAATCTGAAATGTTGATCACATAAAAATATTTCACCATCAAACCCATAAGTACAATAACTTAACCTTTTGATTAGATTACAAAAAGAAAATCTCACACTTCAATTTCTTAAATTAGAAATAAAACTTTTTTAGAACATGTTTGTTTTTGTCTCATACAAAACTGAGCTTTGCAAATTAAAGTGGGTAGTGTCTATTTGACCTTCTCCAATGAGTGAATTAACAGGATTGTTAATAAATTATTAAAAATTTCAATGAATTAAATAACATAAATAGAAAAAAGATTTTTTTGGGGGGTTGAGTATTAAGGTATCTATCTGATAACTAGATTGTATCAACACTTTCTCCTGATAAGTGATCCCACTGAAAAATCTCAAAATTTTCCTCTTACATGTTTAAGTGCATATGTTACATGTGTGTTTATACATATGAATATACACACATATATTTACACATATGTAAACATGCATACCATTTGCACATTTAAAAGATTGGAAATCAATGTCCAAAAGTGATCATGATTATCAAGTGAACAATGAATTTTCTTTCTATATTATTTCATATGTACTAATAATTTGACATTAACCATGTATTACTTCCATATCATTAGAAAAGTGCCTTTCTGGATAAATGAAATGGAACTGATTTTAAGTTTGGTATTTTTTGCTTTCCTGAATTTTCAAAAATGTCCATTTATTAATCAGATCTATCTATTTTAAACTGTTATAAAATATGACCCCTAAATTTATTTCTTCTTAAAAGTTATTTTTAAAATTTTATTATACATATGTCTTAAGTCAAACTATACCATCCACAAGCTGGTATTTCCAAGCACCAAATTAGCTATTCTCCTAGCCTCTTTCCAAACTCTTTTGTTTGAAAGTTTGTAAGTAGCAAGTTAACTCCCAACTGGCACAACGCTGAAAAATCAAGAGGGAGATATTCATACTCTAGTAATACATTCTTGAATTCTTATCAATGATCTCTTCTTAGCTTAAATCAGAAAAAGTGATTGCACATTTCTTTAGGAAAAGGAGAAAATTTAGAAGACCAAATTTCCAGAAAGAGATGAATTAGAAATAAAATGAGTTCTCACTTTTCTCCTGTTTCTGCCCTCACCCCCAGGTCCCTTTTAGTCTTCACATTTTCCATTTTTGACTTACTTCATGAGAAAGATAGTTCTAAAAACATAAACACAGTCTTCTGATCAATAAACAAAGGAGGAAATACATGAATAATAGAAAAATAGAAACCGGTTCCACTGCAGAGAGACAGGAAGTAAACAAGTGTCAAGGGAGCTCAGGAAGGTGGAAGAGAAGAACATCCTAAGACTTCAGTGTGGTCCTTCAAATGGGTGTGGGAAGGGCGGAGGATTTAGATCAGCGGTGTTGCCACCTGCCTCTTAAGTGCAAGGTCCAGAGTTCAATCCCTGGTACCAAACTAAAAAAAAAAAAAAAAAAAT